AAATTTTATAAATTATCTGAAAATCAGAAGATCACGCAATAATTTCTTTTTCAGCATTTTGGGATCAAAAATCATACCATTTACATATCGTAAACAATATTATAATTTCAATTTATGATATATTTTTGACTCACAAACTTAAAATGATTAAAGTAAAATTAATTGTTAATTGGCAATTACCATTGATCAATAAAATAACTAAACGAATTGTATGAGAAACTTACAAGAGATATTACAAAAGATGTAGCAGTAGGAAAATTTTTTTTGGAAATCATAATAATTATTAGGTAACAGAAAAATCCTGGATCACAGTAATCATTTGAAGATATTATTGATACGGACTACATTATTATTAATGGAGTATAGAAAATTTATTTAATTACATAATAACATTTCAATACGATAATATATAATAATGTAAATTATAAGGAATTTTTTCATTATTAAAAAAATTGCATTACAAGTGTAATTTTTATGCTGCAAAAAATTATTAATATTATTTAAAATGAAAATAAATAAAAAATCTATATGCAAAAAATATTTCTGTACCTGAAATTTCTGTACCTGAAGTTACCGAGCTTGGTTTTATATTAAACTACCGGAGCCAAATTACGTTAAAACAAATCTTGCTTAATATTAAGTAAATGTGCTTACAAATAAATAGTACATTGCATTTACTTTATAAATAATAGTATTAAGAACATAATCAATGTGTTTAGCCAATATATTGAAATTATACAATTATAATAAATTTTTATATGAATTTTTAATGGTAAATTTGGAATTATGCTGCATTAAGTCAGTTAGAATTCAATTTTCACTTTACTTTATTAGTATATTGAAATATTTAACTTGCCATTTGAAAATTTGTTAATTTTATAAATGGATTTCATTACGATATTAACCTTTTTGTTATTTATTTGATAAACAAACATTACAATGAATAATTACACTATAGATGCTAAATTAAATCTTTCCAAAACATTCGTTATTTAATTATTCTATTCAATATTCTTCGAATTTTTCATTAATAAATTTAACTGAAATTAATTAACTTAAATCATTATCATTATCGTAAACACAATTTTTTTTTTAAAGATAGTAGAAAGTGACTTATAATTAAATTTGTTGAATCTCATGCAAAAGTTTTCTGGTTTACGTTCTTTTCAATTTCCATGTAATGAATACATTAAGAATATCGAAATGAATTGTATAATTTTTATTTTATTTTTTTCTTTTTATTACATTTTGATTTTTTTTTTAATTTACATTATATATTTTTTGCTCTTATATTACAAATGGATTTGTAAGAAAAAATGTGCCATAAATAATAATATTTTGTTTTACGTAAACGTAAAGTTTCCAGGGTAAAACAGAAGTTTAAGCGAGTAATTAAAATATTGGTGGTTGTTTTAATCCTTCGTTTTACGATTACTTACCTTCCACTGTAATACAAAAATTTTGTAATTTAATTTTATATAATTGATAAATTTACAAAAACAAATATCATCGGAGAGAATAACTAAATATAAAATATATATTCAATATTTTGTTTATTTATTTAATATACTCAATATTTGAAAGATTTAATCGATTATTAATTTAATAAAAGTTGAAATAGTAATGTAAATGAGTAATATAAAAGTTTGATATTAAATTTATAGGCAAAATTAGTTAATTTATTAAAATTATTAATCTCTTTATTGTTATATTTTCATATTATATAAATAATAAATATTGTTTGAAATTTTTAAATATTGTTAAATCGAAAGATATAAAGTATAAATATAAAGTATACTGTAAATAATATACACGTAAAGAAGGAATTTAATTGTATGAAAAATACATTTTTCTCTAAATACATAAGCTTAAATTAATTAGAACAATCAACATTAATAATGAAATAAAGTTTTTACGTATACAGCTGTTATTATGCATATAAGCTTGTAACGACATATAATGTTGAACGATACTGTATTATCTTTGAAATAAAATAAAATGAGTATGTCGAAATCAGTTCATATATACATTGCAGCCAGGCAATATATGAATAATAATAAATAATTTAATTAAATTTATTTTTTACATTCATAGTAACTTATCGATATATTTATTTAACATTATATTTAATATAGCCCCGTATGCGGATGACAATTTAAAAATTGTAGTCGTAGACATTACAAACGCACATCCGTCACTAACATAAAAGTGACGCAGGCGCCAAACCAATGCAAAGTTAAAGCAGCTCGGTCCTCGTAGAATGCAAGAATGGGTTGGGTGATCGCTGGCTTCTACTCAACTTGGTGAACATAAACATACGTTTGCATTACACATGCCAATTCAATGTACATTTGTGACCAATGACATCAACCGACTTGTAACAAGCGACGGTCCCTCTTTTAAACGCGGATCTGAGAATGTAAACGGCTCTGTCGGTAACGCAGACCAGCTTCCTTTTAAGGAATTGACAAAGCTCACATAATTATATAATGTTTTTTTTTCTTCTTAATGTATATATCGTTTATGCTTAAGCAATTTGCACATTAGTTTAAGGTATCAAAAAACATGAGAAATACGTGATATCTGGATTGTAATTTTTTTTTTAATATTACTAAAAAATTGGACAATTAATCGCAAAATATCAATTTAAATGGGCATATTAAAATATTATTACATAAATATGTAAAATGGGAATTCTAGCATGATTCAAAAGGCATTGAACTTGCGAGAAACATATTCTAAATGAAAGTAATTATTATAAGATAAGAAAGATAAAAATCGCTGTAATCGAAGAATATCGGCTAGATATTCTAGATAGACTAGACGAATATAGAAAAGAATATTTTATTCAAACGTTATGAGAGACTATTATTAGATATTTTACATCATCGCAAAGTTTAAGAAATAAAAAAAATTAAGAAACAAAGATATTTTAATTAAGTTTAATAGTATATAATTTTATAATTTAGCATATAATATGTATATATATATATATATATATCACTCTTTTTGAAACAAAATTTTAATTTTGTTCTAATTAATTGAAAAGTATATTTGATATTATATATATAAAATACTATTATATTTTTATTATGAAGAACTTTTATTTATGATTTTCAAATCGTAGTATAATATTATTTTATTTAAAATAAGTTCAAAACATTCATTTGAAATATTCAATCATAATAAGCAAGGTTTTTAAAATATTGGCAATAGCTTAATGTTCAATGAAGATTTTCATCTTAATTCTTACCTACTTTATTTGAAAATTATAACAATAGAAAATATAAGAAAATTAATAGACTTACGTATTCATCGCGATGCATTTTTGGCTTAGGCATCGCTCGTGGAAAAATGTGAATATTTTCTTAAACTAATAATAAATTAAAATGTTGTAAAGACATATAAATAATAAGAACATTTAATAATAAATTGTAAATTAATTTCAAACTTCAATATTAAAAAAAAGTATCACTTTATACATTTTGTAATAATAGAAGTTATATATGCTATTGAAACTAGCAATAATCTGAAATAAATCGATAAATATGGAATTTGTATTTATCACGTTCTATGCATCTAATATTCTTTCCAGTAATAATTCAAAATAATTTATATATATATATATATATATATATATATATAAATAGAAATATGATATAGATGATTTTTTTTGTCCTAATTATTTTCATAATAAACATTTTTATGAAATTGTAAAATAAGTTCAAATGTAATTAATTACATAATATTTTTAAAAAATTCATTGATTACATATTAAATAAGTGAAATTAATGTAATATCAACGATGAAAATTGCTTTATAAATATTACATTTACAATAATCATTATAAAGAACATTCGTAAATCTAAGTTAAACAAATAAAATCTAATGTTTTAAGGAGCCATAAAAAATAATGTTAATGTTAAAGTTTATTTTTAATGACTTAATTATTATTAAGATAATTAATTTAAAAGTATAATTTATACCATTTACATGGTTTGGTAACACGATTATTGTCGAGGATTGACTGACTATCTATTATGGATCATTTAGTTTGAATTAAGTCATTACTTTTACATTCATTAAATTTAATTAAATTCCATTTAATAATGAAGTGAAAATTTTTATTTCAAATTTAAATCGTAAAAATCATTGATGAATAAATAATTAATTATTATTTACTCGGATCGCTTTAAAGCAATAATATTTTTACTTCTCGGATATTAAAATGAATTTTTTTTGCATTAGAAATGAAAAGTTTTGCTCTTAAAGAAATATGAATGATATGAATGTGCACTTTGCTCAGTATTGTGGTGGTCATAAGAACAAATGAAATAATTAACTATGAAAATCCTTGCTGTTCATTTGTAAATGGAATGGCTGGGTAAGTAGGTATGTACAGAAAATTCACAGTAGAAAAGTCACGTTACGCACAGACATTTACGGACATCGCTGTTACCTACAACTTTTCACTTTTGCCTACGTTATTTCCAGGAAAAACTTAATCGACAATCATCAGTTTATCGAATGTTTATTGATCGCTCGCTTCGTATTATTCTCCATACTATGATACACAAATCCATTTGGAAATTATGATAAAGAAAAAACATTATCAGTTCATTCGATAATACCTCCAGATTTTATACTCACCGTCCCATAAACAGTAACCTCATAGTAACCAGCTAATCATAATATGATCGCCGGTAGCATGGGCAATCTTACCTCGGTAAACTTTAAAAAGAAGATGTTAGTTTGAGCCCTCGCAGACATTAGTAGACTCGAGCGTGAGCGTATCCCATATCATTTATTATCGCGAGTATCCTGTGTAAGCTTCGTATAACACGCAACGTTAGAAGTGAAAAGTATATATAGTTTTTGTAGTTATGCGATGCCTCGTCGTATTGAGCCGTCAATTGACGGTCATCTCGTACAATGACGTCAATACTGATGCCACAGCAATATAATACCACGTGTCTGTATTTATTCGGGATCGGGGATGCGCGCGCAGGTTGCATGCAACAGAGCGAGCGTTGTATATTCATTGAGCGCAGCGCTCATAATTTTATTAATAATATTATTATTTGTTTGGTAATGAAAAATGGCTGGTGCTCTCTACAGTTTAGCGCGTACGAAAAATTTGATAGCTTTGAAAAAATTGAGTGAATCTCTGGCGACGCCTTCGTTGCATTGCATTAACAATTGTCGGGTAAGTTGTTTGTACAAATAAGCCGTGTAAGTTGTTTGGATATGAGGTTAATAAGTCTCCCAGTGTAAATTTAAATTTGCTCTGTGTTAATTTGTTTAATAAGTGCCCATTACGATAATATCATTTTATTGAATTGAAAACACTCGATATTAAAGGGAGCGCTACATCATCAGTCAATTGTTTCTGGAGATGTTCTAATGTTTGTAATTATTTATAATTATATTTCCTGTGTATGAAATGTTCCATTGTGAAATTACAACAGACAATTTATTCTTAATCTAATATTGATTCAAAAGCCATATTAAACAATGAAAACTTATATTTTATCATATTTGCGAAAGTAGTTTTAAATTTATTTTAAAATACTGCTCACCTCGAGAGTAAAATTACTTACCATATTTAATTGTAGCCTCTGGGTTATTACAGCTTCAAATTAGATGTATAAATCCACGTAATACACCACTAGTTACCAATATAGATGTGTCCAAACTAACAGATTTTGAAAAGTCAAAAAATCCTGAAGAATGGCGTTACGTCGAACGCTGCTTCCCTATTAAAGTGGTACCTTCTCCCAAGCATTTTGATGGAACAGCTCCATCAGGATGGATACCTCCAAGAGGTAACATTGTTATGTTCAATACACAATATTATAAGGCAAAAATTAATTAAAGTTGTGTAATCAATTATACACACAGAGAAAAATAAGTGAATTATTGATTTGTTTTGATTAAAATATTTTTCTTATTTAATCGTTATTTTCTAAATTATTTTTTATGTCTCTAATTGGAATTTATATAAATAAACAATGTATTAAAAGAAAAATGTTAATTTCTTTATTTTATTATATTGTAAAACTAATTTAATCGAACTTTGATTTTAATATTTAATTAATTTAATGTATTTTTACATTTCTTTTGCAGAACACTCGAAATCTCATCCCTTTTTCGTGTCAAGAACAAAAAACTATATGCTACCAGTTTATTTACTTATTTCATTTAGAGGCTCACGACATATTACTGTAATTAAAAAAATTGATGGTAATATCTGGCAATTGGAAAGTGAAATTAAAACATATCTTGAAAGTATATCAACAAAATATTATAAAAAAATAGCTAGTCGTGTTAATGAAATGTCAGGTCAAATACGATTTAGAGGAGATCACGTAGAGAATATTAAGCAGTGGTTGATTACAAAAGGATTTTAAACCCTACAAATCAAGTATTAAATCAATATTATTTGATATTTTGTTTGTTACTCTTAATTTTATAGTATTTATAATTATATATCATTGTAGAATAATAAAAGTTGGTTTTTATAAAAAAGATATTTAAAGACAATGCGTAATAAATAAATCATGAAAATTTATTTGTATCTTTTTAGAAAAAATTTGAAAACAATCACATGAAATATCAAACACATCTTTATCTACTTTAAAAACTTTCTTCATTGACGCAATAGTATTTAACTTAAAGATAAACACAAAATTAAAAGAAAATATAATTATTCAGAAATTTTGAGCAGTGCTGTTTCTTTTTAATTTTTTTTTTTTTTTTGTATACAAGTATTGGCTTTTAAAATGTAAAATATTTATTTGTAAATCTTTCCTTGATTAAATTTGCGTCCATTTTTATCAGTACCAGACCAACTGAAATATTGTTGGACAATTCCTTTCGTTTCCTCATCTAAAGGATCCAATTTAGTCCAGCTATAAGATTCATAATCTACTGTCCAGTCAAGACATGTCTGTAAACAAATTGTAATTAATTTAAAAAAATTAAAATTATACTTGTAAAATAAATTGAATACATTCTAGATACAAATAACGGTAATGTAAATACTTGAACGAACAAACTTTTTTTGTTTTAACTAATTATTTGAGATAAAATTTTAAGAGTATGAAAAAATCTATTACAATCGACTTGTTTAAATTAATGAATTCAAGTGGTTAGATGAATAGCACATTTAGAAGTATACAATAACATACAGGAAATATAAGCTCATGTCCTTGCCAAACCCAGACTCCACTGATACTGCTATCATTATCGGTTCCAAAAAGACATACACTAGCAAAAGCATGCTTTCGCATTTTGTCCAAGCGTTGAAACATTCCTCCAATTAAGTTACAAGACATAAACACCTGAAATGAATAAACTTTAAATTTCTGCTTTTATGTATATAAATTAATATCTTCCAATTTACCTTTGTAAGCTCCTCTGGATATTTATATTCGCAGAACCAAATGCTGTAATTTTCAGGATCAAAATGCTCCCAAAAGTAAGGGATGGATATAGCTTCATCTTCATTACTATAAACTCGTTTAAAATCATCCACTTGAAATGCTTTCTTTGTCTTAATTTCACTAGTTAACTTAAGTTCAACTTCCATTGTTTCCTTAGCTTCAGCCTATTAAGAAATAATTAAAATAAAAATTCAATAACTAAGTTGATACAAATTCTATATTATACATATAACGCAGTTAACAATAAAAAAATATTTATAACAAAATTAGATCTATACTTGCTACAGTTAGAAATTCTAAACAAATTTTTAATTAACCAGCTACACAATACACACATACAAACACACAAAAAAAACTTTAACATAATACAGGAATAAATGCCCAAAAACCTGTATTTATTTATGAAACTAATATGTAATAATCATCTATCAAATTTATTTCTTCAAATTGATCACAATTAATTGGAATAATTAGTTTACCAATTAAAAACATTACTTTTATTACACAGTATGTTTGAAAAATTCTTACAATTTCTTAACTATCAAATTTTGTAAAGAACCAAAAATATTAATAAAAAATTTAATTTATTAATAAAAAAATAACAATAATATTAACATCAAAAAATACTTTTAATTTTAAAAACTAAATAATATATAAATAGTACAGCATACAACTGTTTTAATTCCACTTAATACAATAAATGTATATTGACTTCTTTCCTTTTTATACAATTAACATTTTATTAATATAAAAATAATCACATTTTTGGTAATGATTTAATAATAATTAATAATTATAAGTATTATTCTATTTGATGGTTATGCTATTGTTGGTTTACATATGCGAGAATAACTTTTTTTAACTATATTTATGATTAATTTTAGAAAATAACAGATAAGTAAATAAACTGTTAAGTAAATACTATGGAAATTAAAATAATTGGATAAAATTTTATTTACCCTTTCTTGAGTGGTTACGGATTTATTAGGATCGTACTCAATTGTTTTATCTGCCAATTTAAAAGCACCAATCACAGCAATGGATTCTGGTTGATTAATAACAGTTTGGAACCATCTATTAACATTCTGGTAAGGCTTGCGTAAATTGGGCTCTAAAATGTACCGATACAAGTACAAAAGTGTCATGGCAACACTGATATCAGCAAGCGTCAGCCTTTCGCCCACTAAATAAGTCCTTGTCAATAAATGAGAATTTAAAAACGTCAATACTTTCTCAACATCCTTCTTTGCATTGTTTATGGTCTATATAAATAAAATGATTTATTACAATTAAATTTTAACGACACGGAAATAATGACTTTACAATTGATATATACTATACGTATAGGAATAAAATTTCCCTTAACAAGTAAAATTGAAATTGTAGGCATAAGTAATAAAGCATTTGAAATAATAACAAACACTAACATTTGATACCTATTAATATATCTCTTGTCGTTACAAAACCTAATACACTATTAGATTTTGCCTTTTAAAGAGAACGCGTATAAAATAATATATTTCAGTCTTACCTGCTCATCGTAAGGCATAATTCCCAGTAGAGGGAAGACCCATGCACTGCTGGTGGGCCAGATTTCTAAGTCCGCAAAACCAAACCATTGTAAAATCTTAGCTCGATCTACATCGGTTTTTCCTCTCAGTTGATCATTAGCAACTTTAAAAAGAAATTACAACAATTACATCAGATTATCGGATTTTAATTATCATAATAATACAAAACTCACCATAATATGCAATTGCATTACTTTCTGTAATATATTCACCGTCGCTAGTCTCAAAAGCTGGGACCTGCAAGAGGTAAAAAAATTAAATATTTGAATTAAAATCTTGCAAATGGAATATATTATACAGTTAATTAATAGACTTAAAATTGTACCGTTTGTTAAAATTCTTAATAAAATAGGTGTAAAACAGGATCTATAATTAATCTATTATTAAAGAAATACATTAACATTGCTTAAAAAACAAATGATATTTATTACATTTTCTAATATTCAAGCGCACAATGCTATCACTGAAATAAGATAGAAAAAAAACTTCCCAACAAACGTGCTTATAAATTATCTATTATAAATTTGCAATAAGAATGATAAAATTAATCTAATACATCTGGATTATTGGAAAACTACAGGTGTTGGTCCATACATTTGGAACGTGTACATGCGAGTAGCGAGGGCCAGAAGAAAGGCAAACACAACTAGTTCATCCTAATCGGTTATACTTTTACATCTCTGGAGTGGACCATCTGTTCGTACACTAAAGCTGTCTAACAGCAGTTTCTCAAAATCCCTCCAACACCTCGCACACGCGATATACAATATACCGGGTAATGGGCAAGAGGTCGCGGGATAAATTAATTCACGGCATAGAGTACACTCGTACCTTGCCAAGAGGAAACTTCTTGAGGAAGGCTTCGGACTTGTTGGTCTCACCAAAGACGAAATCCTCCGCCACCTTGACCTCCGCCCCGGAGAACTGAGCCGCGATCAGTGCCTTGTAGGCTCTGAAGTTCTCCGGATATGTATAGAGTGTCTGGAAGAAAAAGCAAAATAGGCCACTCGTTAACTGACAAATCTTATTGGCCTGGTGATTCCATATCGTAGTGCCGACATCGATGTCAGCCGGGACGGATGTTCCCGGGTGCGAGTTAATTCTCGCGCAGAAAGAAAACTTACACCAGACGCCATTGTACACCGCGCTACGGGAAGAGGAAGTCGAGAGTTGACTAAAAATCGACTGACCGTCGAATATCTCGTACGCGCATGCGCACCGCAGCCTCATTTAACGTGTGCCCCTTGATACACTCATGGGCGTCCGCTCGGGCGCACATGTGTGCGTGAAACTTTTTTTCATCGAGAACAGCCGGTTTCTTTCATATCGTAGGAGGAAAGCTACACATACAATATAATATGGCTATGAATGCCGCTCGGTGTTACTATGGTCTTTATTTTAAGAAGGAAATTAGTTTGTTAAAAATTTTCGCATTTGCAATAGTTTTTTTTTGTATGTTAATCAATTTTAGTTTATATTAAATGTGCGTGACGTGTACATTGCAGAACTCGTATGTATGAGACTTGTTTTTATTATCTTTTTTATTCGCATACTTGATCAAATTTATCAAATAAGAAGTCATTTTTATCTCTACTCTTTTTATTAATGTATTTCATTATGCCAATATGGTTGCGCTGCAAAATCTTCGAAATGTATGCATTTTTTTAAAGTTTAAATTACAAAAATACTAACGACTAAACCACATTTTTTTATTTTCGTATAACACGTGGTGAAATAGCGCCTTTTGACACTTCGAATAAATAGGCTACAGAGCTGCACCGCCAGTAAAATAAATGACACACAAACATGTGCTTTCACGACATAATATTATTATAACAACACAGGATATAATATCCTAGGTATGAACGTCAAATAATAAGGAATGTCACAAAAAAAAAAAAAAAAAAAAAAAAAAAAAAAAAAAAGACAAGACAAGACAAGAAAGAAAAAAATATTAAACGCTCAAGGAACGATTTGAAAGATACAGTTACAATTATTTATATCCTAACTATCTGATTGATTAATTATAATTTTTATCTTCATTAACCAATAAAATATTTATTGAAAACTAAATTTATACTATTTCATACAAGTACAACTTTTCAATACATTAATCATAAATAATTTTATTATAAATTTAAAATAAGCGATTACATGTGCAATCTGCAAATACATTACTTATATAAATAGTAAGATAATATATTGTTAATATTTAAATATAAAAGATTCATATTATGCCACTAAAATAATATAATTAATTATTAAATTATTTGTAATAATATTACTTTTAATGTTTGGCTTCGTTTGCTATATGATTATAAGTAAATATAGTTTTAATAAATTGTAATTCACGATGATAATATTTTACCATATGCATATTTAAAAAATAACGGTTTTATGTATTTTTCGGCATTATTAAATACGTAATTTTTGTAATTACGGATGAATATTAATAAAATTATAAAAGACAAAATGTTAAATTGCCATGACATTAGTACTTTTATAATTTAGCATTTATACAAATTATACACCCATTGTTATTTTCAAATTTTTTTAATGTCGATTATTTATCTTTATTATAATTATCATCATTATAAGTGAAAATATGTAAAATAAGAAGATGTAATTCCAGTAGAAGCTCATAAGTTTATACATAAATTTACGTAAAAGAAACTATAGAACAAAGTTTAAATTTGAAATAAACTTACATTCGTATATTATTTATTTATAAATAATGTAATTTCTTAAATGCCTTTAATTAAATTTTGAAACATATTAAAGTACAAACAATACTATTGTAAATTAAAATCTTTTTAATAATTTTTTTTAGAATCATGTATAAATTATCCAACATCAATTTTTGCTTCGTTAATAAATTAAACTATATGGAAACGTTATGTTTAAAGTAGAATTTCGTTTCAATTGCCATATATAAGTGAATATTTTTATATCTTTATCATATTTCAAAATATTCGAAAATTTCAAATGCAAACGTATTTTTACATACAATCTTTAAGAAAACCAAAGACAAGTGAAAAGTGCTAGTTGCTAAAATGTATACTAATAGTTAAAGAATTAATGAATAAACATGACCAATTCGTATAATGGATGTCTACAGTAACTTGTTCATTTATCATTATCTTTCTTTTGTTTATATTTATTATTTATGTAACATTCATTATGATCTGAATTTTTAAATTGAATATAAGGTGGTACTTTGAATATTAAGATATGCGATTTAAAGTCAAAATTTAAGTATTTTTTTAATTATAATTCTATTTTATTATATGCAATTATAGCTAACTAAAATAATAAACATTGAAAAGTGTAAGAATGTAAGATATTCTAAACAAAGCATACTATTTCTAAGATTATTTTGTTTAAATGAGAGCAACGTATAACTACTATAATAACCATTTAATACAATTATGTTTATGTAAAGAGCGATGATATCTTCTAATTTATGATGTATTATATTCCACTTTTAATTATTAATTTATGAGTGGTATTAAAAATATTGATTAATGTAATATCGATACGATAACAAATCAACACAATCTCAGTGTTATGGATGAGTATCGACCTAGAATTACGTTATACTAAGAATTCGTGACTAGATCGATTATACTCGTCCTTAACTTCGAGATGCGCCAACAGTAGGCATAATCTAATAACAGACCGAAAATCATCGAAAACGCCGTGAGCTCCGTTTTATTTTCCTTTGGTGACGTAGCTATATGTCATAAAGTATCATAAAGCTTTGTCATCAAAGTGAAGTATTTGCGGGCGTATCGCCGACGATAATGTAGTAGTGTCTGCTTTGCCGAGTAATTTTCTGTAGTGAAATTTGCAGGAACTGTTGCTGTGACGTGTGGCTTGATTAAATTTCATATCACAGTAGCGGTTACTCAAGAATTTTGCTACATAACACCAACGAATTTATTACAATATATTTACCTATATTGATAAGGGATCGCTCACGTTAATTGTAATTTCACAATTATTATTGTTTATGTACAGGATTTCAAAATTAATTAATTATCATTTCCGTATGAAACGGCATGAATTTTTAGCATAATTTTAAATAATATTCATTCTGATGTATCGAAAATATAATTATTAAATGCCATTTGTGAAGATACTTGAAGATAGGTGTTTGAAATTGTAGAAAATACGTTAAAAATATTATAATCGCAATAACACACATGTATTATCTCATTTGGTTCTCCTTGATAATTTAACTTTTATATTATAGCAAATAAAAGTATCAAATTAAAATTTTCTCTTCTTTTAATATATATATATATATATATATATATATTATGTAATAATATTGTATAATAATGTAATAAATAATGTAATAATGCATATATTATATATTAAACGTTGAAATACATAATTTAAGAAAGATTTTCTTATTAAATGTATTTAAAAAACAAAATGTAAATATTTATCGAATAGATTATGTAATTAGAGTAGTATTTGTTAATTATAGAAAAAATATACCCTTATCTTATGGTTTTGAATTTTTTAATACAGTATTAATTTAAAATTTGCGTATTTTAATGATTTACATTATATTTCTTTTAAATACCTATTTATTTTTATTAAGCATTATTAATTTAATGCTCCTTTTTTTTCAAAAATATAAATTTACATATTACATGAATAATTTATATTTAAATGAATTTATGGAAATTTTAGTTTATTGTACAGGACTTATAATAAAAATCATATAACTCATAATTATTTAATTTATTTAATATAACTAGTTGCTGCTCCAATGATGAATGCAATTCCAATTTAGTAGACTATTGAATTAGTTTAATTTGCTATTCTGACATATATTGTTTTCAAAAGATTCTTTCATGTTAATATGTTTTATAATTATAATTGAAATCGTATGTAATTATATATTATATTATGAATAAATGATGAATAAATATTAAACATATTTCTAAAATTAAATTTAAAAAATTAAACATGTTTTGTTCTTGTGCCCACAAATGTTGATATTTTTATTAAAAAATTTTTACTTTTAATACATATTATTAACGCATAGGTTTATATAAATACATAATATATAAAAAGTATTTTTTTAACATTTCAAATCACTTTTTTATTTTAATGAATGCAATAAAAAGTAAATAAATTTATATAAATAGATAGTGTTATAAATGGTCTTCGTGAATACTAATATTTAATAAACGTATAATGTTCAAGAAATTGAATTCATGAAATTGAAGAAAATGTAAATTAGAATTTTCTTGAGATAAAATTTTATTTAACTTATTCAAACAATTTCTCTGTTGCAATTCATTTTTTAACTATGGAAATAACTTTATTTTTTAAATTACTATTATGTATCATGTAATTTAAAAATATATAAATGTATTCTTAAAAAATGTTTAATTTGTATTAAATTAAGTTTTTCCAATTCGACACTATTTTTAGATGTTCTGTTATTAGGATATTTTGTTAAAAAAAAAAAAAAAAATTAAAAAAAAAAAAAAATAAAAAAAAAAAAAAAAATTAAAAAAAAAAAAATATATATATATATATGTAATTACTAAATTGTATAACTAATATATATTAATTAATAATAAGTCATTTGTTCTAAATGTTATCAAAATAATGTATTATTACTAATTTTGAAATCTCAAGTATTTATAATAAATTTTGCGCAAAGTTTGAATATTTGTGATATCTGTAGCTTTTAAATAGATATTTATATTTATTTCGGAAATCGACATTTGCAAGAGTCATACAGATATTCGCGTTCGATTTACTTATAGACAGTTTAGTTCCTGGCTTCTCGTGTACATCCCTTTTCCACGAAGACCCAAACAAATGTCAAAAGGTTGTAGAGAGGAGAGGTTCTGTCACGAGTATAAAGTCACCCTATTGCATACTTCATCGGTCAGTGCGAAAATGATTTTCATCGTGATTGTCGTAAGTACAATATCAATATTTGTATTATTAATTACTATTTAATTAAATTGAAGAATTCTTATTTTTTCTAATGTCACATTTAATTTAAAATTGTTAATTATACTTAAAATTTAATTTTAACATTGTAACTATGAATTTTATAATAGATTTTCCATTATTTTATTATTATATTTCTACATTATTTTACCACATTTTAATGTCGAATAAATACAAAATGTATTAAAATAAATTAATAAGGAAGGCGCGATTGTATACAGCTATATAATTATCG